AAAAAAAAAAAAAAAAAAAAAAAGAGATAGGGTCTGGCTCTGTTGCCCAAGCTGGAGTGCAGTGGTACAATCTCAGCTCACTGTAGCCTTGATCTCCTGGGCTCAAGTGATCTTCTCACCTCACTCTCCCAAGTAGCTGGGACTACAGGTGTGTGCCATCAAGTCCGGCTAATTTTTGTATTTTTTTGTAGACGTGGGGTTTTGCCATGTTGCCCAGGCTGGTCTGCCATAGTTTTTTGTATGGTTTTTGGTAGAGATGGGATGTTGCTATGTCACCCACGCTGGTCTCAAACTCCTGGCCTCAAGCAATCCTCCTGCCTCGGCCTCCCAAAGTGCTAGGATTATAGGCGTGAGCCACCATGCCTGGTCTAAAAATGAGATTCTTAAGCCCAAAGTGGCCAGATGAAGTGGCTCACACCTGTAATGACAGCATTTTGGGAGGCCCCATGAGGTAGGAGGATGGCTTGAGGTTAGGAGTTCAAGACCAGCGTGGGCAACACAGTGAGACCTCATCTCTACTAAACTTTAAATTAAAAAAAATAAAAGCTCAAGTTACTGTCAAGGCCATGAAATGAGTCACTGGAATAATGAGCCTGAGAACAGGAAACAGAATGTCAGGCTCTACCCAGCAAAGCTTCCAAATCTAATAGGAGACATTACTGCCCATGGCCTTTGTGCTCCTAGTCGCCTCCAGATCTCAGGAGAAGTGAACCGTGGGGGCACAGAGGCCGATGGGGCCACAGATCTCAGAACCAGCGACTAGCAGCGTGCTCACTCCCACTTTCCCACAAGCTCCATAGCACATAGCCACCCTGCAGTCACACCCGAGGTCGGCTCCAGCACAGAAGGCCATTCCTGAGACCTCTCTGCAGGGGAGGCTCCAGCTGGGAACATGGCTGCTCTGGCTCTGGCAGTGTCACAAGCATAACCATTTTTCAGGGTACAGAGTGATGCCCAAAAGCATTTCACAGCCTCAATCAATTCAGGGAAAAGACCATGAACCAAAATGACAATCTCGTTCTAATCTGCTCTGTCCCTCTTTCAGAGGATTTGTGATATTTGCTGATGAGAAATGGGTGCTTCCTTAGCAGATGTCTTCCTAAGAATGGGGAATGTGAACCCTGGTTTACCTATGCGACTTCCTGCTCTTAGATTTCGCTCTCTGCTGAAGAGGTCCCATGCTGTCACCTGGTGGAAAAAATGAGAAACTGCCTTGTGTGCTCAGCCCATGACAAAAGCATTCCTGTTAAAGGAAATTACCCTTTACTACAGATGCTGGGGGACAACGCTGACCCTGCGCTGCCTCACCTGCTGTGCCATCTACTCCAGACAGAGCACCTTACTAAGATCCTCAGCTACCAACCAACCTCAGGTGGAATAAATTGTCCCAGCGGCAGTCACTACAGCCACCCCACACTTGCTAAAGCGAGATGGAGGATTGAAGAGGCAGGTGAGTCAGGAGGACAAAGCAGGGGCTGGGGAGGACGCGAAGAAGGGAGGAATTCATCAAGGGGCAGGATCGAGCAAGGAGAAACACACAGGTAAGCCTCGCCAACAAAAAACATTGCCCTTGGGATTTTTACACATTTTTAGCCAAACAGCCGGAAGAACCAATGAGAAATACAGAAGTTTACAAGATAATAAAGTTAAATGGTCTCATCGCGATATATTAAAATAAGAAAAAGCCTACCTGTTCACCAAGTTACAAATACAATAAAACTATCTTCTTATATAACATGGATAAAAGAAAAATAAGGACAAGAATATCTCCAAACAGTCTGGGCGTAGTGGTTCACACTTGTAATCCCAGCACTTTGGGAGGCCGAGGCAGGTGGATCTCTTGAGGTCAGGAGTTCGAGACCAGCCTGGCCAATGTGGTGAAACCCCATCTGTCCTAAAAACACAAAAATTAGCCGAGTGTGGTAGCAGGCACCTGTAATCCCAGCTACTTGGAAGGTTGAGGAGGGAGAATCGCTTGAACCCAGAAGGCAGAGGCTCCAGTGAGCAGAGATCGCACCATTGCACTCCAGCCTGGGCAACAAGAGCAAAATTCCATCTCAAAAAAAAAAAAAAAAAAAATCCCCAGTTATTCCCAGAGGTGGATTTGTACTTCCTACCTTGGGTTCTTCTACTGATGGCAGGGTGCTTTACTGGGCTCCAAGAAAGGCTATGTAGCCAGGCTAGAAGTAAAAGCTCTGTGACTCCTGCTTAAACCCACTGAAAAGAACCTATCACAAGAGGACACTCTAGAGGTAAAAGAAGGGAACCTGGTATCTTTGAGGGAAAAAAATGAGAAAAATGAGAGAAGGGCTATTCCCAGGGCCAGAAAGAAAACAAAGGCTGGTGCAGGTCGTAGAAGCTGAGTGGGCCTTGCTGGCCTCTGAGCACTGACCAAGGCTCCTAGCCTGGGTGAGACTTGCACACAGGAGCAAAAGTTACTTGAGCCTGGACAGCAGGAATACCGTACTATCTGTTCCAGGCCCAAACTGGCAAGATCCTCCAGAATACTGTGCCCTAAATAACAACCTAGGGCTGACCCTGGCTTGAAGCCTCAAAGTCATGTTTAATTCAACTTAAATAATGTGTTATTAGCTGTATACCAGGTTGATGAAATAAGATTTACAACTACTATGCATTTTCCAAATTTTCTAAAATGAAGCTATATTGGCTTTATAATCAGAAATAGGGTCAGCAACAAAATTTTATTAATAACAAAAACCTGTTTTATTTATTATCCATAACCTGCCTTAAAGAATGTTAATATCCACACTGAGTGTATGATACCATGGATCCAGAGACCGTTCTGAGCTTTCAGAGACAGCGGTGCTCCTTAAACCCTTGTGGTCTGAAATTCCCACTTGTGCCATGGCAGCCTGTGGTCATGAACATTATTCAAATAAGCCCAGAACCACACAAAACATTGTCTTTGCAGCTTCTCTTCTGATTTAGGAGGCATAACTGGAAAATCAAGGAGATGTAAAAGGGCTATAAAGGGCACAACCATTTCAATATCAGGTAGTTGTCAAGGTTCCTTCTGCCATCAGAGTCTCACTTTAAATGAATACCAACACATCTATTTTGAAAGTGTGTGAAATCAGCAGGCAGGGCTGCTTTACACATAGCCATCTCCAATCCATTATCCCTCCTGTTCTCACAGTGAAGTGTTATCTGGACCTTCCAAGACAAGATTTTCTCTTCCTGACTCAGTTTTGAGAAGGTGAAAATCACAATCACAAGTGGAAATGAAATGAATCATCTTAATAAGCAGCAGTCACCCCCAACCTCCTCCTTATACAACTGACTCAACACCTCCTTCTCCAAACCACCCCTGGCTGCTCTCACGAAGTGGGACCCAGGCCTCCCCTAGCTCGCCTCCCAGGAAGACAGCATCTGGAGGCCACAGGCTGCCTCCACTCCCCTGCAGTGCCCCAGCACGTGGGTTCAGAGCAAGCTGAGCAACACAAAATGAGCACGAGGGAACTTGCCTTTTCCATCTGTTGCTGATGCTTCTTGTAAATGTCTGATTGACCTAAAAATAAACATTTAGAGAACAAAAAGTTAGCTGGCAAATCTGCACTCCTCTCTATTTGCAGCTCTAGTAACTTGAGACTGAATTCCTCAATTATATACTGAAAGGTTGGACTAGATCACTTTAGAGCACTCTCCCTAAAATAGGGGATGGTTGCTAATCAACACGCCTGAGGTAAAGTCGCCCTCTGCTGGCCAAATCTGTGGCAGTAAGTCTAGCAGGGACCAGAGTGTGAGGAAAAAACAAAACTCCATCATTTAATGCTCCTGTTAATCTCTCACTCCCACAACCACCCCCCACCCAACACTCCCATGACAACGGAGCATCACTGAACTCACCTGCCACCAGGAGAGAATAAACCCAAGAAGAAAGTCACCAGCTGACTTCTAGAGTCTAGGTCTAAGAGCTATGAACGTACAGCTCCATACAAACTCATTGAGTGGAGATTTTTAACATTGCTGGAAAATGCCAGCCTCCAGGGACACTGTTTCAGGCTGTGATGTGCTGGTAACTAACGACCATCATTACGGTTCAGGCAGAGGAACATTAACATCATTACAGAAGCCGCAGGTGAGAGGTGGAGGCACCATGAAAAGCCACCAACGGAGAGACTACCCTGAGGGCTAAGCAGGGCACAGGCAGACAGGCTGTGTGAGGGAAGGCAGCTGGGGTCTGACACTGTCACTCACTCTTGTCAGCAAATCAATTACTCTTTAAATCCTCCGTAATTTGCGCACCTGTGAGAGGGGCTATCTGCTTGAGAACTGAATGGACCACCACACGAAAGCTAACCAGTACACTGCTGGCCCTGAAGCAATGCTGGCTGAATCGGGATATTTACAAGTATTATTATTATTATTATTATTTTATTTATTTATTTTTGAGACACAGTCTTGCTCTGTTGCCAGGCTGAGGTGCAGTGACATGATCTTGGCTCACTGCAACCTCCGCCTCCTGGGTTCAAGCGATTCTCCTGCCTCAGTCTCCGGAGCAGTTGGGACTACAGGCGCACGCCACCATCCCCAGCTAATTTTTGTATTTTTAGTTGAGACGGGGTTTCACCATGTTGGCCAGTATGGTCTTGATCTCTTGACCTCATGATCTGCCCGGCCTAAAAAATATTACTAATCTTGAATCACCTCTCCAGTACTTACTTTTTTTCATTTTACAGTAATTTTTAGGATATTTACCTTAAGGAATTTTGCCATTTAGAATCTGCTCATTAGCGTCGTAATTAACAAGGGGCAGGAAATGGCTGCTTACACCTCGACAGCTTGTTGGTGTCCCTTACATTTGACCGTTCTGATAGTGGCATGTGTAAAAAGTAGGGCGTGGGCCGGGCGCAGTGGCTCACGCCTATAATCCCAGCACTTTGGGAGGCGTAGGCAGGCGGATCACAAGGTCAGGCGATCAAGACCATCCTGGCTAACACAGTGAAACCCCGTCTCTACTAAAAAAAATACCAAAAATTAGCCGGGCGTGGTGGCGGGCTCCTGCAGTCCCAGCTACTCAGGAGGCTGAGGCAGGAGAATGGCGTGAACCCGGGAGGTGGAGCTTTCAGTGAGCTAAAATCGCGCCACTGCACTCCAGCCTGGGCAACAGAGCAAGACTCTGTCTCAAAAAAAAAAAAAAAAAAAAAAGTAGGGCGTGAACCTCTGTTCCCTAATGAGGCGCTCTTTTCGATCTGGAAACAATGCTGGACATCCTACGTTATAGATACCCGAGTGACTAATTCCTGTGCAGGACAGCAGGAGGCTGCAGTGAGGAGGAAGAGTCATTCATACTCCACCGGATGCGGTGGCTCATGCCTGTAATCCCAGCACTTTGGGAGGCTGGGGTGGGAAGATCACTTGAACTCAGGAGTTTGAGACCAGCCTGGGCAACATGGCAAAACCCTGTCTCCAAAAAATTGGCTGGGTATGGTAGTGTGTGCCTGTGGTCCCAGTTACCCAGGAGGCTGAGGTAGGAGCATCATTCATACTCTCTTCTATGCTGGTAGCTGTCTGGTGAACTGATACTAGATCATGTGTAATGTATGATGGAATTAGGGTGAAGAGTGAATCTAACTGGCTGGAATGAGAAGTACTCTCCACTGGCACCATGTTATAAATAATGAGAGTAACTGACAAACCCCTGGATCCTCAAAAATATTAATTTATTGGATGGAGCACTGCAATAAGAAGCACCTCAGCCAGGTGTGGTGGCTCACGCCTGTAGTCCCAGCACTTTGGGAGGACAAGGCGGGCAGATCACCTGAGGTCAGGAGTTTGAGACCAGCCTGGCCAAAATGGCGAAACCCTGTCTCTACTAAAAATACAAAAAAAAAATTAGCCAGGCATGTCGCACACACCTGTAATCCCAGCTACTCAGGAGGCTGAGGCAGGAGAATCATTTGAACCTGGGAGGCAGAGGTTGCAGTGAACCGAGATTGAGCCATTGCACTCCAGCCTGGGCAACAAGAGTGAAACTCCATCTCGGGTTAAAAAAAAAAAAAAGAAGCACTTCACTTCTAATTGAAGGCAGGGGTAAATCTATTTTCTTTAAAATTTATTTCAAAAGAATTGCATTCCAATAGCCATGGAATTACATCACCAAGGGTGAAGTGTTTTATTGCTGCTAGCCTTCTGAATTTCCACCACTTTGCATGTGATTTAATAAGGATATTTTCTCATCAACCACTGACTTGACACTAACACTTCTTTACACAGACCCAAAGCACAATCTATGCATCTAAACACTGCCATTTCCAGGAATGGAGCAATCCATTCTGAAAATATCAAAAATGGTTGTGTGCTGAGAACTATCACTAGTTTTATGTTAATGAACTTCCTCATTTTCCACCTAAGTTGGCAAGAACTGGCTGTTTATGGGATTTCGCCAACTCCCTATCACCACCACAAATTCAGGCTGCTACTTTAAGTTACTACCAAGTTCTCATTTCCCAATTCCTCTCTATCATCTTAGAACTCTGTTAAAAGCCAGCTCATGGTGATGGATTAGCTCTACCAGAATCCCCCGAGTAACTGGAAAAAGACACAGGGTTCTGCCCCTGGAGGCTGATTCAGGTCAGTCTGGGACTCAGAAAGCTGTACTTTTAAACACACATCACATGTGACTGAGATCAATTTGGGAATGGCCAGTTCAGCTGTCGGGCTTGACAGCCAAGCTTTCATGTGGCCTCCCTCCCTGTGAGCTACTCACCACACCACTGGGAAGAGGATGGCACCACAACACAACAGGTCGACCAGAAAGAGAGAGTCCTTCCACAAGCCATATTCAGTCGTACCCTCCTCGGTGGACTCTATGATGATGTAGGCTACATTTGCCAGGACCTATAGACATGAGAATTTGCTGAGGCCCCAAAGCATGGGTGCACTGTTGCGACGCTAGCAGCCCCAATGAGGGGTGCACACCTTGGCCTCTAGACCCGCAATGTGCGACCACAGCATTCTTTCCAGTCCCACATGCTCTTCCAGAACTCTGCCACTCTGCTATCAACGAGAGTCTCCATGCCATCCCCCTGAATCTGGACAGGCCTGTAATTGCTCTAATACAGTAAGATGGAAGGCTGCTGTGTGATTTCCAAGGTAGGTAAAGCTTCCACCCAGCTCTCTTGGGACCTTTGGAGCCCTAAGCCTTCTTGTAAGAAGTTTGGCTACCCTGAAACTACCCTGCTGTACAGACCATGCAGAGATGGAAAGACCCCCCAGAAGCCCCAGCTGTCCCAGTCCCCACCTGAGCAAGCTTCTCAGCCCAGAAGACAGATGCGGGTGGAGACTTCAAGATGCTCCCAGTCACGGTGTGACTACAACCACAAGACCCCAGTCAGACCCACCCAGCTAGCCACTCTTGAATTCCTAACCCACAGAAACCGAGAGAGAGAATGAAGGGTTACTGTTGTTTTAAGTCGCTGGGTTTCGGGGTGATTTGTTATGCAGCAGTAGATAACAGGGACACTTTGCTTTTCAGGTACCCCTAACCCAGTGGAGTCACTCAGGTGCTGGACTGCTGGACAGGTGGCACTTAACACCCTATTTAGCCACCATGCCCACACTTTTCAGGCCCTGGTGCTCAGTGACAATAACTCATCTAAGTGCCAGACAATGGAACTGTGTTTTCAGAGACTAGAGCGGTGAGAATGGCTGATTCCAGCCCCACAGCTGAGTGGCCACACTGCTGCTCATGGGATCATTCAAGTCTAGGTCCTCCCCACACAGGACATGGCGAGTGCGTCCACTGAGATTCACCAGTGTCTGTGCGCTGCTTCTCCCTCCAAAGGTAAGGCTCTGCCTCATGTACTCAGGCCCATTATTAGGCTCTTAGCATAAGTCTTTATAAAAAGTCCTTCCGCTGGCTAAACTGAGATGCCTCAGAGCATGAGGGAAATTTACCACTTATAATACATCCTTTTGAAGATTACCACTGGGAATGGATGCAGAGATGATCATTCCACCTGAACACCCCATGAGAAGTCCCTGGTCCCAAATACTCTGCCTGACTTGCTGTAAAGGTAATCCTCCACACTTTGCATGTAAAATCTGTAGTGCTATTATTCAGCAAGTCTCTCAGTGTAATTTTTCTTTCTACACAGGACTTAGAAATCAAATTACCTAAAACTTCATTTAATACTAACGCAAAAAAAATCTGAAATTTCAGCCTCTCCACTAATACCCAGCTTCTGGGTTCTTCCCTGTCCCACGATGCTCAGGAAGCCCTGTCTATCCAAAACATTAGCATCTGTGGCTCTATCTGAAAAGACAAAGTAGGGCTGGGTGTGGTGGCTCATACCCGTAATCCCAGAACTTTGGGGAGCCAAGGCAGAAAGATTGCTTGAGCCCAGGAGTTTGACACCTGCCTGGGCTAAACAGTGAGACCATGCCTCTACTAAAAAAAAAAAAAATTCAAAAATTAGTCAGGCGTGATGGTGCGCGCCTGTGGTCCCAGCTACTCGGGAGACTGAGGCAGGAGGATTGCCTGAGCCCAGGAGTTCAAGGCTGCAGTGAGCCATGATCACCACTGCACTCCAGCCCGGGCGACAGAGTGAGACACTGTCTAAAAATAAAAAGACAAAGTAGAAAACAAAGGCTTTCACATCTTAAATTCAAAATTTCATTTTGTCCTTAATTCACACACTCCACGAGAGACAGAATGTTCCCAATGTTGAACAACGTGCCGAGAGTGTTCTTAAAACACCATTTTGCATGGACATCATCTACTCCTTACTTAGAAACTTTCTGTCACTGCCCATGGCCAAAAGGAAGCAGTTTTAACTTTTCAGGCTGACATTCAAGGCCCCTCCCAGACTATTTCCATTGTCTAAATACTCATAACTTTCTTAATTTGTTAAATGTCCTTATTTTCTCAGAGTGGTATTCCATGGAACTGTGTGTGTCTGTCTTTCAGGGAAGCCCAGGACCGGCTTCCTGGAAGGCTGTGCCCCACAACAACACAGTTCAGGCTGGTGGGGGGAGACTCTAGAGGGATGAGGGAATCTACTAAAGGGAAGGGGAGCACGCAGCCAGGTGACAACCCAGGCTCTGTCATTCACAACTCCAAGACCTCACCAGGCTGTAGGACTCAGTCTGGCTAAAGAAGTGGCGCTAGTGGCTCGACAGCTGAGAGACTGGCACAGTCCCGCAGCACGTTTTGCTCAGCAGGCAGCAGGGTCATGTGTATCTACTGCTATGCCACTGCCCCTGTCACATCCTTTTCTTTCAACACTCAGGCCAGCCCCATCTCTGTCACAAAGAAAGCCCTCCTTGATCCTTCCAACTTGAGTGCTTACTCTCTCCTTGGAAACCCAGAGCAACTGGCCTGTCCCATTCATTAGATGTCAACACACGTTCCTTATTATTGAACGTGAGGGTGGATGAGGTCTGTCAGAACTCGGAGAGGAGCTTTGCTGCAAACTCTGCCAGAGCTGGGAGCCTCAGGAGTTGTCCCCTTCTACCCCCAACCTTCCACATTTACTTTGCGCTCTAAAATGTGAGAACAGCTGACGGGGACAACTCTGTCAAGCAGATGCTGTCTGGTCAAGCATAGCAGGGTAGCTGTGCATTCCTGCTAAAACCTCTGTTCACTGTAAGTTCTTTACATCCAAGTTCTGCTTCCAGTAAGACAAGGCTCCTCCCCCAATAGACTCACAGCCTTGTAAGGCTGGCCTCAGCCCTCAGCCCTCAGCCCCAAACATGGTAAGGATTTAGGAAATGTTTGCCCCTCAAGTCTACTACCATATTCTACCTGTGGAAACTCACTGGTGTAGTTCACGGTTTTAAAATACTTTATTAATAAAATCACTACATCTCTGAGCTTCCTCGCCAACAGCACCATTTAGTTATGAAGCAAATGATGCAGAAGAGAAAACAGTCCTGTGTGTTACTGTGTGTCTCCCTACACTGTCAGCAGCTCTCTACTCAAAATCTAGGCACCCAAAGACCAGTGGCTGACTGATGGCCAAGCATCTCCCAGTGCAATGATCTGAAGTCTACTCAGAATTCAGAAAGAGAATCCCAGTCTTCAACCTCCACTAGCAGAAGCTGGGGTTTCAGGGTGAGCTGACTCCCTCTTGCCATACAGGCTTGGAGCTGAGCCCTGCTAAGTGCCAAGAGAGAAATTACCTGGAGTGGGATGACAATCATGAAGATCTTTTTGTCTTTATCAGAAAGGATGTGCTTAATGAAAGCCCAGCCAGTGCCAATGAGTGCAATGGTGATGAAGAGTAGCGCCCCTTTCAAACTGGAAGAGAAAACAAGGAAAAGACACCAGCATGTCTCTTTAGACTCTCACTGCCAGTTAGATTGCATAGCTCATTCTATGAGTTCACAAGCTTATTACAAAAGACGGGCAGCCAAATTTAGGAAATACATCATACATGAGCACCACTTCCTTCAGGGCACACAAAGTTAGCTCTGCACCCCACAGCCTGAATAGCCAATGGCCACAGGGAGGCCGGAGCATGCCGCTAAGCCCGAGTTCCCAAGTCTGGACAGCCACCCATCAGCTACACTCCTCTAGTGTAGCTAGAGCAGATAGGCTGCCATGAGAGGGCAGGGCTGGTTAACTCGGGGCAGGTTGTTGCCCACTCCCACTTGTCTTGTATGTCATTTCACGGTGTATTTCACATGGACCTGCATACTTACAGGTGAGTTATGTAGTACACAACAGCCCAGCCTTCGATAGGGAAGCCCTGGGAGGAGATGTAGTGGTAGTCAATCTGAAATCAAACAACTGCATTTCAGAATCACTCATTATCTACATGGCTCCACAAAGAATCTTTTAACTTGGACCCAGATGGGAAATTATCCAAATCATTATCATTTTGTGATGCTGTCACGGGATATATTATTGCCTTTTTGCACTTTCAAGTATAGCAAAGAGTACATGTCTAGAGACGGTCACCCTTGCAAGTGTGCTCCATGGGCACTTGGAGGCCCACAGACAGGAGAAGTTGTGATCTTACCCCCTTGGGCAAGTTCATTTTAATTTGTATAAGTTCCAAATACTCAAAGCTGAAGCTCAATTCTCATGCCTCCAGCTTTATAGCATCAATTTTCTCTCAGATAAATATGCTAATACTGAATTGAACTTCAAATCACATAGGAACATGAGGGAATACTTGGAAACATAAAAAAGTCGTGGAGGCCGGGCGTGGTGGCTCACGCCTGTAATCCCAGCACTTTGGGAGACCAAGGCGGGCAGATCACGGGGTCAGGAGATCGAGACCATCCTGGTGAACACGGTGAAACCCGGTCTCTACTAAAAATACAAAAAAATTAGCCGGGCGTGCTGGCGGGCACCTGTAGTCCCAGCTATTCGGGAGGCTGAGGCAGGAGAATGGCATGAACCCGGCGGGCGGAGCTTGAGTGAGCATAGATCGCGCCACTGCACTCCAGCCTGGGCGACAGGGCGAGACCCCGTCTCAAAAAAAAAAAAAGTCATGGAAACAAGTCAGCAGGTGGCACTCGCATCTCTAGAAATGGTAAAAACAAAACAAAACAGAAAACAAAGAAATGAAAACAATAATAAGTGTTCTAGACAAATCGTAGGTCTGTAAGCAGCATCAGAAGATGTGTGAAGTCTAATATGAGGGGAGGTGGTAATCATTTACCCGCATGGCCAGGCCCTCCCAGACAAGAGGAGGCTTTATGTGAAACATATTCTCTGTTTCCCACCCATCTATTCCCTTTCTTCAAATGTCTTTTGCCTGCTCACACAGGCATTATACGTAATTTCATGAATGATCCCCAAAATGCTAATACATACTGCGTGGAACACCAAGGAAAGAGACTTGGTGAAAGGAAGGGCCGCCATCAGCCAGTGGATTTTAAATACATCATTCCTATAAAAACAGAGAAAAAAGAATTAAAGGACGATTCCATTCTCCCAAAGGAGAGTCAAAGCTCCAGACATCAGCTATATTTACAAGGAGACAGGAAATATGTGCAAACCACAAACATGAAACTTTTTTTTTTTTTTTTTTTTGAGACAGGGTCTTATTCTGTCGCCCAGGCTAGAGGACAGTGGTGTCATCACGGCTCACTACAGCCTTGAACTCGGGCTCAAGCGATCAAGCAGCTCTCAGGAAGCTGAGGTGGGAGGATGGCTTTAGGTGTATGCCACCATGCCCAACTAATTGGTTTTGTATTTTTTATACAGAAAGGGTTTTGCTAAGTTCTCCAGGCTGGTCTTGAACCCCTGGCCAAGCAATCCACCCACCTTGGCCTCTCAAAGTGTCGATATTACAGGCATGAGCCACTGTACCCAGCAAAAACTTTTTTTTTTGAGACAGAGTATTGCTCTGTCACCCAGGCTGCAGTGTAGTGGCATGAACTTCGCTCACCGCAAACTCCAACTCCCGGGATCAAGTGATGCCCCCCACTGCCTCAACCTCCTGAGTAGCCGGGATTACAGGCGTGCACCACGATGTCCAGCTAATTTTTGTATTTTTAGTAGAGACAGGGTTTCACCACATTGGCCAGGCTGATCTGGAACTCCTGACCTCAAGTAATCTACCCACCTCGGCCTCCCAAAGTGCTGGGATTACAGGGGTGAGCCACCGCGCCCGGCCACTTTTTTTTATAAGGTACTTTTTACTGGTAAAAAAAGGCCTTGAATGGAGTCCTAAAGTAATCTCTAATACACAATTTAATGTTGTGAATGAACCTGAAAGTTATGCACTAAAGCCAGACATGATGGATTCCAACTCTTGAGTAAATGGAAATCTAACACAGGCTGCCAGCTTGTTCCCGGAAACCACCCTGGGAAAGCCAGAGGCAAAAATGAGGTAGATGGACCTGAGAAAACAGCACAGAGCTCCCAGGAAAGCAGAAAGCGACTACAAAACAGCTGTAGGGGAAGTCTGCAGCCCAGAGTAGGGGGGCTGGGAGCCAGCAGCAGGGATGTGTGAGGGGAAAGTGCCAGGGTTGTGCCCATTTCTCTCTCCTTCATGGCTGGTGTCTGCAAATACCCCAGGCCAATGAGACAAAGCACGCATTCCGAGGCCCACCCTGTCATAGATACTAGAGTCCACCTTTGGGCTGCCGGGCATTAAATTCCTCTACTCCTTCCCACTTCCCCTTAGGAACTAACCTCATAGAACACATTAAGACTATTATGAGGCCGGGTTCACTGGCTCATGCCTGTAATCCCGGCACTTAGGGAAGCTGAAGTGGGAAGATCACTTGAGCCCAGGAGTTTGGGATTAGCCTGGGCAAAATGATGAAACTCTGTCTCTACCAAAAATACAAAAAGTTAGCTGGGTGTGGCAGTGCACACCTGTAGTCCCAGCTACTTGGGAGGCTAAGGTGGGAGGATCACTTGAGCCCAGGAGGCAAAGGCTGCAGTGAGCCATGACTGTGCCAGTGCTCTGCAGACTGGGTGATAGAGCGAGCCCCTGTCTCAAAACAAACAGTCTCAAAACAAACAAAAATTAAGCCAAGAGTGGTGGTGTGTCCCTATAGTTTCAGCTATTCGAGAGGCTGAGGTGGAAGGATCACTTGAGCTCAGGAGTTTGAGGCTGCAGTAATCCTTGATTACGCCACTGCTCCAGCCTGGACAACATAGTGAGACCCTGTCTCAAAAAAAAAAAAAAAAAAAAAAAAAAAAA